GATTATTCAAATAAAGTATTTCATACTAGCTAACTTGTGGTAGTTTGTGTTTTGTGCAAAATGTATTCATTTTGACTCGAGATGTGAATGAATAGAGTGCTTGCTTAGAAAACATGAGACCTTGATCTTAATGTAGGAAGGAAGTTGTCAGGGTCATTTTGTTCAAGTAGTCAGATTTATGTATGTGCAGTTTTTTGTTGTTATTATTTGGGGGATATTAAAATTGAAGACTTGCAAGAGAGGTACTCTACCACTTGAACTACACCTACAGCCTCTTTTTGCTTTGCTAACTTTGGGATTGGGTCTTTATGTCCAGGCTGGCCTAGGCTGTGATCTTCCTACTTGTGCTTCCCTGTGTCTCTGAGGATGAAAGACTCACACAACAGTCATTGAGATGGAGCCTCAGTCAGTCATGCCTGGAAACAGCTACTCGGGAGACTGAGATCTGAGTTCCCAAATCAAAGCTAATTCAGAAAATTCTGTGATACTGTTATCTTCAGTTAGCGAGCAAAAAGCCAGAGATAGAGCTGTAGCTCAAGTTTGGTGTATGTTTTTCCATTTTCTATTTTACTTGAGGTTACAAATAACGGTCCCTACATTAAAGCCCCATTGCCAGCTAAAAAAAACAACAAAACAAAACACTAGCCTGGAATAATCCCCGATTTCTGCCTCCTAAGTAGCTAGGACAGGCTTGAGCAGCCCCACCAGCTTGTGTATAAATTATTTTATTTATCAGTAAGTATAAACCCTATAATAACATATCACTATTCCGTCCTATTAGAAAGTTGTTTCTTTACCTCTTCCTCTTTTGTCATTTTTGTTAGAGATTTGTTAAATTGTATTAATATTTTTTTCATGAAGCTAGCTCTTTGTTTCATTGTTTTTACCAGTTTCAGTTTTCTCAGTTTCAAAACTTTTGTTTTGCCGCTCTCTGTTTCATTGAGTTACTTGTGATTTTATTGTTTTCTTTCTTTTGTTTGATGTGGTTTTCTTTTCCAAAGTTCTTGAGGTAGAATTTAATTATTGATTTGAGTTTTATTCTTATGTACATTTTTAATAGTATAATTTTCAAGCTGTGCCCACAAATTTTGATATTGGTATGCTTTCATTTTTATTAAGATTGGTGGAAGGGGGGGGTGTTCCATACACTTAGAATTACAATTGGTTAACTTTCAAGTATTGGGGCTTGAACTAAGGACTTCTTCCTTGCTAGGTTTGTTTACATGGTTGGTACTCTACCACTTTAGCCACTCCTTCAGCCCTGCTTTTTGCTCATTTTTGGAGCTGGAGTCTAGTCAGGTTTTCTGCCTACGCCAGCTTCAAATCGCTGTCCTCCAGATCTCAGCCTCCTGTGTAGCTAGGATACATTTGTAAGCTGCCCTTAATGGACTTTTAGGTTTTTCTAATTTAGAGATATTATTAGGAAAGCTGCTGTGAGTTTTTCTCGTGTAGCTTTTTGTATAGGAGTACACTTTTATTTTGGGTAGTTGAAGATAGTGAATCAAGTTGCCCAAATTACCAGCATATGAACAACAAGGATAATGAATGGGTGGCAAAATAGGATCCCATAATCTTCAAAGGAACTAGAGTGGGCTTAGTTAAACCAGACAATGATGAGAGTACTTTAGCCCTGAGTCCTAAAATAGTCAAGTATGGCAAATCACTTCTTGTTAGGACTCTAGGGAAAATGTCTTCCAGAAATAGCCAGGTTTCAATTGGAGTCAGAAGGTCATTCAGAGAAATTGAAAATATAGAGCAGCATGGCAACAGTGTGCTTCCAAAGATGGGACATATAAAATTTAAACTTAACTGTTGTCAAGCTGTTAAACATAGGTAGTAGTCATGGTGAGACTAACATAATTTTTAATGGTAGTTTCTTGGGATGAGAAGGGCTCATGGAATTAGAGTTGAGAAAAGTTAGAAAAAAAATTTTTAAAAATTTAAAAAAAGCGTGGAAGTCAGTGATACTCTTTCAGTACATATACTTTGGCATTGATTTCCCTTAGCTTAGTGGTCGTTACTGTGCTTAAGAATGCAAAATATCAGCTGGGCGCTGGTGGCTCACGCCTGTAATCCTAGCTACTCAGGAGGCTGAGATCTGAGGATCGCGGTTCAAAGCCAGCCCGGGCAGGAGAGACCGTGAGACTCCTATCTCCAATAAACCACCAGAAAACTGGAAGTGGTGCTGTAGCTCAAGTGGTAGAGCGCTCGCCTTGAGCTGAAGAGCTGAGGGACAGCGCCCAGGCCCAGAGTTCAAGCCCCACGGCCGACCAAAAAAAAAAAAAAAAAGAATGCAAAATATCTAGGTGGGCGCCAGTGGCTCACATCTGTCATCCTAGCTACTCAGGAGGCTGAGATCTAAGGATCTCGGTTCAAAGCCACACCACGCAGAAAAGTCTGTGAAATTCTTATCTCCAATAAACCACCAGAAAACGGAAATGGCACTGTAGCCTAAGTGGTAGAGCGCTAGCCTTGAGCTGAAGAGCTGAGAGACAGCACTCAGGCCCAGAGTTCAAGCCCTATGACCAACAACAACAAAAAAAGAATGCAAAATATCTTGCCCCCTTTCTATGGACTTTTTAATGTATTTATTAGAGATTTCTTTTTTCTTTGTGTCAATGACATGCTCATTTGTTCTCCTGAATGGCTTGGACTTGTGGGCTTCCTGAGAACTGTTGAGAACTGTGACTTGTGTATTTCTGCTTTCAGAGACATTGATCATTGTTAATTTTTAAGTGAAAGATACACATCTTAATTTTTTCAAATTATTTTTCTATGTGTTTGTTATAGGAAAATTTTGGTATATGTTTATTATCTTGATAGTGATAGAGATGAATTTTTAAAAAGGAAATTTTATACTACTATAAATTCCAATAAAGAATAGGATAAAATATATGTTTGTGTAACAAGACATAATTCCAGTTTTAAATTTTTGTTTTGTAAGAACCTAGGAAAGGTTAGCAAGAAACTACTTGGGTAAAAGGGTTAGTATACTTTTAGACTTGTTTACCAAGTATGTTCTGTTAGTAGATACAGGTAAGCATTAAAATGTAAAAGTTTTAGGCCATTTATGTAATTTTTGTTTTAAGTCTGACTTTTCCATACTTTAAAAATAATATAACCTTTATAATGAGGAAGAGGAGGGAGTAAATTTTACTTAGAAATAAAGCAAGCTGATGAACAGATTAATGTGTTACCTTCATTTATTTTAATGCAAATTTTAAAATATTTTTTAAAATATTTATTTATTTTGTTGGTCATGGGGCCTGAACTCTGGGCCTGGGTGCTGTCCCTCAGCTCTTCAGCTCAAGGCTAACACTCTACCACTTGAACCACAGCACCACTTTTTCTGCTTATGTGTTACTGAGGAATTGAATCCAGGGCCTCATGCATGCATTACCACTGAGCCACCTTCCCAGCCAATAAAAATAAATTTTGCATATAGGTATACATGTATGTGGTGTTAAAGCAAATCTTAATCCTATTATGGGTAACTGGTTTTGATTTTTTAAAAACCTCCACTGACATCAGATGGCAACTAACTTATTGATTATAAAACAAAAAGTTTAAATTTGAGGGGGTGGCTATGAAATTTGAACTCAGGACTTTGTGTTTGCTAGGCTAGTACTCTACCACTTGACATAGAACCCTTTTTTATTGGTCGGTCTTGGTGCTTGAACTCTGGGCCTGGGCGCTGTCTCTGTGCCCTTCAGCTTAAGGCGAACACTCTACCACTTGAACTATAGTGCCACTTCCAAGAGTCTTCCCTTCTGTCTATTGAGATGGGATCTGGATTTTTTTTTTTCCCTGATCAGCCACGGTGCTTGAACATTGGGCCTGGGTGCTGTCTCTGCTCTTTTGCTCAATGTTAGCACTCTACCACTTTGAGCCATAGCACCACTTCTGGTTTTCTGGTTGTTAACTGAAGATAAGAGTCTCACAGACTTTCCTGCCCAGGCTGGCCTTGACCCTTGATCCTCAGATCTCAGCCACCTAAGTAGCTGGAAAATGTTTTTTTAGGCTGGCTATTACTTGAACCTTCTGATCTCAGCCACCTGAGTGGCTGAGAGGACAGGCATTGTCTCCACTGAGTACTGCTATAGGGTAAGATGAGATGTTACAAATTTTTTGCCCAAATTAGCTTTGAACCATTACCCTTCCACATAGCTATCATTATGGATGTGAGCCACCTGTTTCTGGGTACATGTAAAGATTTATGATTCATATATTCATATCTCAACATATAAGCTTCAAGTATTGATAGAAAATAATTTTTTGAAAGAAAAGTTTAATTAGACATAATTTTTGTTTTTCATACTCTGTTATTCATTGAAACACATACCATGTTATTTGTTTTTTTTTAATGTTTTGTTTATTTGTTTGTCAGTCATGGGGCCTGAACTCTGGGCCTGGGCACTGTCCCTCAGCTCTTCAGCTCAAGGCTGGCACTCTATTTGTGCCACAGAGCCACTTCCAGCTTTTTCTGCTTATGTGGTGCTGAGGAGTCGAACCCAAGGCATCATGCATGCAAGGCAAGCACTCTACCACTGAGCCACCTTCCCAGCCCCCATGTTATTTGTTTTAACTTTGGTTGTATGTGATATTTCTACATATTTAGAAATCCATTTGGCTTTATACTTTATTTATTCAGGAAATATTTAATAAATGTTAACTATATTACTAACTGCTATTGTTTGAAATTATGTGTTCACTAATATAAATAAAACAACAAAATTAAGATTAGTAATCTTCTAGTCTAATTATAACAGAATATATTTTAATCAGTGAAATAACCATGCTCTATTCTTTTCTTTTTCTCTTTCTTACCTTTGACTTCTTTGGTTGTTGTAGTTGTGATATTTCCCAGGGCTTTGTGCATGTTAGGCAGTGCTCTTCCACAGAGCAACATCCCCAGTCTCTTGCATTTTAAAAACAATATTACTACAAAAGACACGTAATCTCAATCTCCTTCCTGGTTTTTGTTTTTTTTTTTTAATTAGATTGAAGATCTTCAACAGGAGTTAATAGTAAAACAAAATGCAGAGCATGATCTACAGAGGAGAATAAGCAATGCCCGAAAAATGATAGAGGATTTGCAAAATGAATTAAAGACTGCTGAAAATTGTGAGAATCTTCAGCCTCAAATTGATGCCATTACAAATGATTTGAGACGAATTCAGGATGAAAAGGGATTATGTGAAGGCGAGATTATTGATAAACGAAGAGAGCGAGAGACTCTAGAGAAGGAGAAACAGAGTAAGTTTTCTTAGAGTGAAGACATGTTTATAAAATGAAGCTATCTCTATTAATGGCTTCTTCCTGATATTCATCTATGTTTACTTTGTGTCTTACTTTGTCAGTTGTGCTGATTTGCCACTAACTTATGTCCAATTAATTCACTAAAAATGCTCAGCACTACTCAGATCAAATTTTAAGTTCCTCCTCTTAGCCTTCAAATGCTGTAGTTTTGCTCCTTGACATAAGTAGTTTTATCTTAGATCTTACATTTTATCTTTTCAATAAATACCCATTCTCATTATAATTCCTCAAACTATTACATTAATGTAGCATATTACGTCTATAACAGAGAGAGACAGAAAGAGGGTTTTTTTTGTTCTTAATAAGTTGTCCTCTTTTCTTTTTTTTTTTTGCAGGGGATGTGGGGGAGAGGGTCCAGTCGTGGCGCCTGAACTCTGGGCCTGGGCGCTGTCTCTCAGCTCTTCAGCCTCAAGGCTAGTGCTTTACCACTTGAGCCACAGAGCCACTTCCGGCTTTTCTCTTTTTTCTTATGTGGTGCTAAGGAATCGAACCCAGGGTCTCAGGCATGCAAGGCAAGCGCTCTACCACTGAGCCACCTTCCCAGCCCAGAGGGTCTTTTGTTGTTGTTATTTTGCCAGTCCTGGGGCTTGAACTCAGGGCCTAGAGACTGTCCCTGAGCTTCGTTTGCTCAAGGCTAGCACTGTACCACTTAAGCCACAGTGCCACTTCCAGTCATTTCTGTTTATATGGTACTGAGGAATGAAACCCAGTGCTTCATGCATGCTAGGCAAGCACTCTACCACTAAGCCACATTTCCAGCCCCAGAGTGCCTTTTTATTTAATGTTTGTATTATTATAAAGATGATGTACAAAAGTATTGCAGTTACATAAGTCAGGTAAAGAGTACATTTCTTTTTGGACACTGTCACCCCTCCTCTTGTTCTCTCAGATTTGCCCTCCCATCCCCACCCACAAGTTGTATAGTTCATTTTTCACATAGTATCTAGTGAGTACCACTAGAGAAAAGTTCACTTTTTGTCTCTCCATTTCTGTGCCTCACGAAGACAGATAAATGAACAAGACAAAAAAAAAAAAAGAAAGAAAAAAACCTCTTGTTTCCTTTTCCTGGAGTTCATTTTGGAAAGTACTATTTTATGTGATCAGATGCACATAGATGTTTTGCTCTTCTCCTAAGAGTATCCTCCTTTGGAGAGTGCCATTTAACAATTGCCAGTACTGGGGCTGGGAAGGTGATTCAGTGGTAGAGCGGTTGCCTTGCATGCCTGAGGCCCTGGGTTTGATTCCCCAGCACCACATAAGCAAAAAGAAAAAAGCCGGAAGTGGCGCTGTGGCTCAAGTGGTAGAGTGCTAGCCTTGAGCTGAAGAGCTGAGGGA